TTGATTACGGAAGTGTTGAAACCAGCTTGCGCCGCAGGTGCGTGCTCTATTCCTCGTATTTACGCCTACCATTCCCCGTCAACGACATTTCCTGAGAAACATTAAATCGCACGTTCCGTATCTCCCGAATTCCAGGCGACGATGTCTGGTACTGGTTTATTATGATGTACATGGCTCAGATCATTGTCGACCCCCGAGACCTTCTCGTTTCTTTGTATTCCCCTACATGAATTCCTTACATAGTGATGAGGCGAAGAAAGAGAGATGCGCAGTTCGCGTTATCACAGAGAAACCTGAGATTGTTTTCGTATGATATGCGTTTTATATGACAAACGTCGTGAAGACTCGCGTCTTTTTCGATACGCTTTTCAACCTGAAATATTTCTCTAGCGAAATATTTCTAATCAAGCACGTCTTTCTTGATTTTTTGTACAGTCAGTTTTTGTGGTGTTCGTAATTCATTTCCAAAATATTCAAAATATCAGAAATAAAATTGATATTCTAATGAATGATCAAGTAATGTCAAGGCTATATGTAAATTAACACAAAAATTGTTTTGGTACAGTTCAGTACATATTTATGTTATGATAGATTGGTTAAAATATGATGTAAATGTATGTCCGACTACTCAAAAAATTATTAAATATTTCCGTGAAATCAATATCATCAGTAATGTAATTTCTGATCAGTTATCACTGCAAAATTTAAAAAATTTTGGAGTCTAATTTTAAAGACATATATTTATTTTGATTATTAAATGATATTTCCAAAATATTGAAATATTTATATTCTGTAAAGATATAAAGATAATTTATAAATTGCCTGTTTGGCAGGTGTTAAAGGTATTGGAGGAAATATCAGTGGTAAGAACGTGTCCAAATCAGACAGTTCTGACACTGGCTTAATTAAAGGATTTGGATTAACACTGGAAATTCAACCTAGTGGCCATGTGATACTAGGAAAAAAGGGGATCACACTCAGTTGCATAGCTGGTTCAAATGAGACTGTGACTTGGTTGCACAATGGAATACCAGCACCTCCATGTGGTCTTATTCGCTGTATTCTTCTTTCCAATGGCTCTCTCCACTTTTACAAGGTAACGCATAGTACTTTATGGATTTATTATTACGAGATTATAATTTATACTTAGAAATTATATAACACAATGATGTATTATGTGTAGAAACAAAATTTACAAATGCAAAAGTTCAAAGAAAAGGAAAGGAATAATATTGTTAATGCTAGAAACCATAATAAAGATGAATATCGCTGTATAGCACGTACTAATTTAGGAGAGTTGATACAATCAGCTCCCACCATTATTCAAATAGCAGGTAAATGCAACAATCTACAAATTTATGAGTACAAGTTTCCTTTCTTTCAACAAAAATTTAGAAATTAGATTTAACGAATGTCACATGTGTTACAGAACTTGCCCATGTATTTAAAGAAACTCCAGAAAATATTACTGTTCAAGAAGGTGAAGTCACAAGATTGTCTTGCTTGATTGACAGTGTTCCTTTTCCACCCAATATTACGTGGCAGCATAATGAAACATTGTTATCTTATAATGAATCAAAGTATTCTGTGGTACCACCAGGTGTTCTGTATATAAGTGCAACGAAACTGTCAGATGCTGGCTCATATAGGTGTCTTTTTTTTTTAAATTTTTTATCGTTAATATTTTTATTGGAAACTAAAATGGAAATTGTTTCAGATGCATAGTCACTAATGAATTTCTAAAGAAGACCAAAAGGAGCAAAGAAGCAAAATTAACGGTTATTGTGAGAGCGGAGAACAAAACAATTCATACGCCATCGTCCTTGTTTCCACAAGTTTCGTACAATCATTGGCTGGTTAATGGATCGAATCTTAAGTTGGCATGTGCTGCATCTGGTTATCCATCACCATTCATAACATGGTCATTTATTCCTCGTTACATAGGTAAGATATTTGAATGCAGAATACACGTTTAGTTTGTTAAGAAAATTGAATACATTCGATTATATTTGTTTGCAGATAATGTTACAAAACCTCGCATCCTTCTTAATTCTACCACTGGCATTAGTATATTGTCATTAACAAACGTGAACATTTCTTATGCTGGTGTCTACCTGTGTTCTTCAAAGAATTCTATTACCAATGACTTACAAGTACAGGTAAGTGATTATATTTGTAATTGAAAGAAATTAATATTTAACAGAAAAAATTGACATATTTATATATACGTAAATTATTGCAGAATATAACAGTAGATATATTAATACCACCGTCATTTGTAAAAACGCCGATGAATCAAATCTGTCCAAATGGAAGAACAGCGAGATTCGAGTGTCAGGCGCAAGGATTACCCGTACCTCAAATTTATTGGCTAAAAGATTCATTAAATATTACTATTAATGGTAATGATATTATAAACAGATTTAGGACTTGCTAAGGAAGAACTTTAAACTTTTTTTCTAACACACTTTTTATTTACTCTTACGATTAATCATACATGAATGAATTTGAATGTTAATAGGTCGCAGAACAACTTATGTTAAGGAATATAATAAAATAGAATTAGCAATATCAGCAACAGTACCGTCTGACTCTGGCATATACCAATGTGTGGCGGTAAATGCAGCGGGTGAAATTTGGGCTGCTGGTCGGCTCCAAGTAAATACATCGCGTAATAGTCCTGCCACACCCACTTCTCTAAAGTGTCACGCTATTTCACCAGTTAAAATCTTAATTTCATGGGAACCACCAAAGTCTGTACCATATACCAGTATTACAGCTTATACCGTCCATTATAGTCCTGTAGGTGAGTTTGATATCTTGCGCTAAATATAAAGAACACAGATCTCTTAAGAGGCTTTTCAATTATCTATATTTATATATACGTTTGATATGTATTTCTAATATAGAAGGTGGTAAGGAGGAAGTTTCGCCGCCAGAACCAGGGAATTCTACATCTGTAGAAGTAACAAAACTTCTTGAACCGTTTACAAATTACTCGTTCTACGTACGCGTGTGGAATAACTATGGTGCTAGCGATCAGTCGGCTACCATTGTGTGTTCCACTGCTCCAAGTGGTATGTATTTCTATCCGTTTTTATTAACTTAATATCTTGTAATAAAATATAATTTAAGTTAACTTGAGATAACAATTTCCAGTTCCTAAAGGCACACCAAAAATGAATGTGAATATAATCAGTAGTACAAAACTAAATGTATCGTGGGAACCCTTAAGTAAAAAGGATTCTCGCGGCGTCATAGTGGATTATAAGCTATTATGGAAACTTCACCAGAGTTCATCTAGATTGGTACAATATCTACCTGCATCCGTTGAATACTACATAATTTCTGGTATGATCTTTGTTTATCTTTTTTCTCTGTTTTACAAAAGTAATAATTATACAATCATATATTACGATCACAGATTTGGAACCTGGAGCACAATATGATCTTCAAGTATTGCCAAGAACAAAACAGGGCGAGCCAAATATTAGTGAATCACAATTGGATTGGATTACTGTAACCATGCCATCTGAATCCAATCAGTTTACTATAAAGAATGTAGATATTCAAGTATTAATTGTAAACTCTTCAATTATCAAGGTTAGTATATCATTGATTAACATTAGAAATACGAATATTTCTTATATTCATTGAAAAGAGTACCTAAATAAATGAAAATAAAAAAGTAAAAAAATCTAATATTTTATTAATATAAATAAAGAACGTAATTAAAAAGTAATAGAGTGTTAAATTGTAAAATCACTAAAGTGTAAAATTGTAAAATTTTTATTATTTTTCGAATTGCTTTCTAAATCTTTGTTCCAATACTAGATGAAATGGAAGATCAACTTCAAGCAAAGTGATCAAATTGAATCAAAGTTCGATTCCTGGCAAATTTATTGCGAAAATCAAAATGGTGAAAATTTAAAGAATATTAGTTTACCGCAGAATATTACTGAATACTTGTTTACAGATCTTGGTAGGTACTTCACAATAAATGATAACACTTTTAATCATGTTATTTAAATTAAAAGTGCAATAATTAATTTTTATTCAGATATGAACGATTCTTATACTATGCATCTATGTATGGTGAAGAACAGCTCAGATGAAGCAACAAGCTGCTTAACAAAATATGTAGAGACCGTAGAATCCGATCCTAGTAAGTTTGTCAAATTTTTATGGATTATATCTGCACTAAATAAAAAAATAAACAATTTTATGCGATAATCTTGTAATTTTTTTAGATACTGTGCCAATGACATTGGAGGCTGTTCCCGTTTCGCCCACGTCCATTAATGTGTCATGGACATTGTCCGATGCGCATGATATAAATTCATTTGAATTTTGTTATTATGCGGTGCATGTGCAAAATTCTAACAATTCTAAATGTTCTATCATGTAAGTATAGCTCGATCTTTTGAAATATAAATATATCTGCTGACAAAAGTTTAAAATCTCTTTAAAATATATATTTTATAGAAATGACACAAAAACAAGTGTTGATGAGCTAAAGCCTTTTACTTTATATGAATTTAAAGTAAAAGCCATTAGACATGATATAAATCGAACCAACTTCTATAGCAAGTCTATAGAATGCTATACAAACGAAGATGGTGAGTCTCTAATAGAGTTGTTATTTAGAACAACAATACGTATGTCGGTTTTTTATATGGGATTTTATAAACGAAATTACAGTTCCTGGTAAAGTCGAAGGGTTACAATGGTTCTTAGAGAACAATACGAAAGTACGAATTGTATGGGAGGAACCGACGAATATAAACGGCATTATACAAAATTATATTGTCGGATATACCATAAATTTGACGACGACATGGAATAATGTAACTGTGTCTGGTAATAAAAGGACGACGAATCTACCAGACTTAGCACCAGGGAAACGATATTTCGTTATGGTACAAGCTGCGACGAATGCTGGCTATGGGAAACCTTCAAACCCTATTATTGTTTTTACCGGCGGTACTAGTCGTAACAGT